AGGAAGTGGGTGGATTCAGGACCAGATTTGGTCCTATTTACAAAGGATCATGAGGAAGCTTTTCTTTAACTATTCTAAAGTAACTTCCCCTATCCGCTCCTGATTCCCAATATCTAATTCCCCAGATACGGCCAACTAACCATGTGTCATCTTGGGGTTCTTTTATACTGATTTCAATTCTGATACAGGACACGCTGCCACAGGGTCTTGTAGGGTGTCCATCAAAATCATGCTTTGGGGGAGTGCAGCCCGGGGGTCCCCAGGCTACATCTATATATTTATCTCCTCGTGTTTTCCAATTTGAAGCAATAGTTTCACAACCCCAATAGCCACAGTAAAAATGACCTGGATAATTACAATAACTTCTGCCAGGGTTACTTGCTGGACATATATAAAATGCCTTGCATTGGGCCTGAAGCTTTGCTAGATCTGGGGTAAAAACAGGGGAGTCCTGTTCTATAGGTATCAGGGAATATAGATGCACGGAGAAATTCCACTTCCCTGGACCGATCTGAGTTTGAATTAATTTTGACTCTGGTAAATTATATAATTTCCAAGCCATAGGTTCATGAGGGTTTCCATTTGCTTGGGTTATTATCAATAACAAAACTAACGGTATACCAGAAAAAAGGGTGTCTGTTAATTTTGCCAATTTAAGTATATTTTTACCAGTCCTGGGGAAGTTCGGCCATTGCTGCTTTTGTGTCCCATTGTTCTGGTTCTTTTCTCCACAGTTTGTTCCTCCTCTGCCTTGCCCATCGACTTGGTTGCTTCGAGCCATGGGGTGTACCATCTTCTCGGCAGCAAGGGAATTCTTCAGGAGAACAGCTTTTCGGGCTTTCTGCCTGTTTATATAGGCTTCCCACTTTGCAGCTTTAACTAATGGGACAAAGAAAGACATGGTTAGCTCTTGATTTTTTACTTTAATTTCTAATTGCAATTCAACAATTAAATCCCGTCCTAACAGATTAAATTCTGCTTCAGGGATGAGCAAGAGTTCACCCATTCCAAATTTATTTTCAGTTTCGAATACCACATTTTTGATTTTGCTTACTTTAAAGGGTTCTCCTTTTGCCCCAATTACTTGTACTTTTTCAGGGGAAACTTTACATCCCTCAGGTATTTGCCTAATAGTCGATTTCTCAGCCCCAGTGTCTACTAAAAAGGTGAACACTTGTTTATGGGGACCTATTTTTAATTTTATCAAGGGCTTATGATGACTCCGGTCCCTTAAGATATAGAGCCCCTGACTCTCCTATTCCGTTTTCAATATTTCCTCATCCCTGATCCTTTCTCTGCAATTCTTCTTTATATGTCCCTTCTTTCCACAGTAAAAACAACATCTCTGTTCCTTCTTTACTACTACGTTCCCTTGTTTCGTTCCAGCAGATCTGTGTTCACCAGTCCGCCCTTTGTGATCCTCTCTGACCGCTGCTACCATCATTTTTACTTGTCGCTTGCTGCTCTCTTCTTCCCGCCTTACGTAGACTTTCTGAGCTTCCCTCAATAATTCATCCAACCCTCTATTCTGCCTATCTTCTAACTTTTCAATCTTCTTTCTGATATCTTCCCATGATTTTGCCACAAACTGAGTTTTGAGGAGCGCTTGCCCTAAAGGGTCGTCTGGATTTACCCCAGAGTACAGCTGAAGGGCTTTCCTCAGTCGTTCCAGCCATTCAGTAGGGCTCTCATCTTTCTTTTGCATTTCATTAAATGCTTTATTGATATTCTGGCCACGGGGTACTGCTTCTCTAATCCCCTGAATTACTATAGTTCTCAGGTCCTGCATATGAGTTCTATGCACCGGATCCTGATTATCCCAATTAGGTCTTTGGAGTGGCCATTTAATATCTGTTTGGGGTCCCTGGGCATGCTGAGCATCCCACAGTCTCATTCCTGCTCGTCTAATCATATCTCTTTCCTCGGTAGTAAATAATTGACCAAGGATAGATTGCATCTCATCCCAAGTATAAAGGTTTGGTCCCAAAAATTGATCTAATCTTTCTGCCACTCCGAGTGGGTCCTCAATTAAGTTTCCCATCTCGGTTCTTTTAAAATCTCGTAGGTCAGCCGAGCTTAGGGGTACAGAAATATATCCAATCACAGGTTGAGGTCCCCCCATGGGCATTTCCCTTAGAGGATACATCTGAGCTGCCCCTTTTTGACTTCTAGTCACGCGTCTAGGAGGAGGGGGAGACCCTTGTTCCGACTCTGGTGGGGGAGTGGGCGCTCTGGGGACCTCTGGAGGGGCTGTGGGAGCAGGAGGAGGAATGTAAGGAGGTGGGGTTAGAAGGGTTTCGTCTAACTCTTCCTTCTTTTTCTTTTGTTTAGTTTTTACTTCATTCAGTGGGTAAAGTCTAGCTCCCGGTCTTTCTAGCCACACTTCCGCATACTGACTCTCCTCCGGGTTAAGGGGTTTTTTATTATTAACCCAGAGGTTTAATTGCTGTCTTACTCAATCTTCTTCTGACCCATAGACTGGCCAAAAGACATTTTTAGAAATCTTCTTCCCTCCACATATCTTAGTACAATATTCTATAATTTTCTGCTTATCTTTCCCTAGTGTTTCAGGGAAATATCTCCAATTGTCTAAGATATATGCCAGAGGGGTATTCTTAGGTACAGTGGGTACCCTTCCCATGGGAGTCGAAGGCTTGCTGCCCTTCGCCCCCATCTTCTGGATTATCCACAAACATACACTCACTCGCTCCCCTTGTTCCTGGCCCAGTCCCTCGCGGGAGATGGGAAACACAGTACTTAAGAGTCCACACTCGCTTGGTTCAGTATATCGAATCTCTCACTCGTTATATTCCAGGAAACCCAATCCCGCCCGAACGGCAAACCCGCAAACAAATTAGCAATATACTTACGCGTCTTGCGTCTTCGTCTGGACTCCTGTGCACAGAATTTTATGGGATTTTACCGGTTTCTCCTTTGCTCATTATTCTAAAATTTAGGTTCGTTGGTAAGGTTGAGGTAGGCTGTCGGTCGCAGGGCCGCGGATTGCTGCGGGGCGCCTCCCCGGAGGACAGAAGCCCACCGTTCCTTATCCGAGTCACGGCACCAGGAATTGTTATAAATTGAGACCATAATGGATCATAATCCAATTAAAATTTTATTAATTATAGCAAGTAGAATATGAGCAAATACAGCACTGGACGGCAGGGGAGTCTGCGCTCCGTCAGCTGCCGTGCTGAGCAGTTCAAACAGTCCCTTTTTATACATCTTTACTTCCGTGTTCATGAAGTAGTGGAGGTACTCTGCGCATGCTTCAGTTGTTGTTAGGGGGTTGTTTTCTGCCTCTTGGTGGTCGTTGAGGCTGAAGTAAGAAGTCTTCCTCCTTTGTCCCATAGTTGACCCCTCACTCATATGTCCTTATATGGGGTTGTTTGTCCTGTTTCTGTCGGTTCCTGGACATCTGGCGGTTATCTTGCACAAGCGGTATCTGGTTTAGTTCGTGTAAGTGATTGCCGTTATCCTATCTTACACAAGCGGTGTCTGGTAGCTGTTTGCATAAGCGATTTCATATCTTTTGTTGCCTAACCTTTACATTGAGCTTAACATAAATCTTAATAAACAATACCCTAGTCCATAGTTTCTCACAGGGGGTGCATTTAGCGCATGCAGAGCTGTGAGGAGATAGTGCTTTTCAACCCTCCCCTGTGGTTTTTTGGAAGTACTTCCTTCTAGTTTTTCACAGGTGTCTATGTGTTATTCAGGAGCATCTATGAGACTTCTTCCAAGCACTTCTGTCCAGCTGATGTGGAGGTGAACGTGGCTGGAAGATCCTTTCTGGTCACTGGTGCAAACAGTGGCACTGGCAAGGCCACAGCCAAAGCGGTAGTGAGGAGAGGTGAGCTGTGCTGCAGTGAGGAGCCCTGAGGGGCTGTCACAGGGAAGATGGAAGGAAGCAGGTTTGGCCTTCCAGTGCAAACACGAAGACACAACTCCCTGTGGTGAGGGATCAGGTGTGTTATTTTACAGGGCTGTTAGTGTGGGTTAGGGGTTTAAGCCTGATACATGCTGTGAAAACTGGAATAATGAAATAAAATTAGTGGAGAGGATCTGCAAAGTGTTTCTCAAGTACATGTTTACTGAAACTGTATCTGTGTTAAAGTGGCATCCAAGGATGTTGGTGACGGATCAAGGTCTGTTTAAGGATGATTCAGTACAAGTAGCAGCATGGCTGATTTTGAACTGTTTTGCAAATGTGTCATATGATGAAAGAAAACAATTGCTTTTGCTAAGTTGAGATGGCAGAGTATAAAATAACCAGCATAGCTGTGCTTGATCTTAATGATAATAACCTGGAGTTTGTGCCCTTTAAGTGATTACATACAACCGTTTCTTCTGTTACTCTGCTTAAGTAAGGAGATGGTATGAACTGAAACTAGCTACTGCTGAAGGATAGACCTAATCTCTTTCAGAGCTGGCAAACAAAATAATTCCTGTTGTGTGTGAGTGATAGGAGTTTTGGCATGTAGAATAAAAGGGAGGAGCTTGAGACTCTTTGTTTTCTCTTTGTATGCGTAGATTTCATAACTATCTTACAAAGGAGAGTGGCAACTTGGTTAAATTACACTAATTCAAAATTATTGTCATCAAAGGCCTTCAGGTTAAAGATCCCTATCAGTGCCAGTATGTGATTGATTTCAGGTTCCCACTACTGCCATTATGTGTAATAGCCTTATGTAAGTATTGCTTTGTCTGGTGACTGATTTGCTCACAAATGGATATGCCTGCCAGGTTTTGCAAGCTGTCAAACTGACTGGATCTGCATAGGGTTTGACCACCTAGTATTTAGAGTCCAAAGAACAACCTTGGGGCCAGACTGCTTGTCTAATATCTTGTGTGGAGATTGCTGTCCATATGAAATTAAAATGTCTTAACAGTGTCTTCCTGAGCCTATCCTTGCACATGTTGCTCTGAAATAGGATGTCAGCTGTTGGGGCTCTGACTTCTAGTTGAATCTCATCAAGTACACCATGACAAGAAAATAAGGAATTAGGACTCAGCAAAAGAGTAACCAAGCTACATTGTCTTTACCTTTGTAAATAATTACTGTCTTGATGACTGTTTCTTTAGCCTGAGTTCAGCTTTTCTCTGGATTGGTGTCTTCTGGGTATTGCAGATTTGGGTTTTCCTGTGTGTCTTGTGAACTGCACATCCAGTCTGATGCAGCCTTTTCCCAACCACTTTGGCAATGCCCATGTGTTAAGTCTGGATAATTTCAATCTTCACCATAGAAAAGATATTTAAATCCCTTCCCTACCCCAATAGGTCACACCAAAACTTCCCTCTCCCTAACAGAAAGAAAAGTTCATATTCAAATCTCTTAAAATCTACCTCTGTTTTCATTGAATGTTTTCTGTTGTAGACTATGAGAATGTTCTGATCAGCTTGAAGTCCAGCTACTTCTTCCATGTGTTGTATCTGCATAGTTACTTGTGTTTTAGGAAGAACTCCTTAAACATCTGCAATTAACTGCCTTCAGATCTGTAATTAAAACCCTCCTTTGCAGGGAAGCCCACAATCACTGTGAGAATGGTCAAAGAATTGAGCATCTGATGCTGCTCCTTCTGATTGCCTTTTCTCTCACTCATGAAATCTGTTCTCCTTGGGGCTAAGACTGTTTTTCATTCTGATCTGCCTATATTCAGTGTCTGTGTGCATAGTCCCTTTCATGCATGGTATATATGTAACACAAACTGAAGATGAAACTGTATTAAACATCAGTGTCATTTGTATGGTTATCCCAGATTTGGGAGTTTCCCACTGCTGCCTGCAGTTGTGCACTTGGTAAAAGTAGCCCAACCAACTCTGGTAGTGCTGTGAAGGAATCGGACCCTGTTAGAAGATATCAGAAGAATCATGAGGCTTGTTGCCTGCATCAGCTATGTGACTACTTGCTGTAATGGTGCTCAGTGGAAAAACCTCTCTTGCAGACAGAAAGTTTCATTATCAGACCCCAAACTGGGCTGTGCAGTGTATGACTGCTCTATCCCAAGGGTAGACCTGGTATCTTGTATTTGGGTTCTGGGCACTGGAAGAGTGACGTAGCACCGTTGTTTCTATTACTGATCCTTTAGAATTACATTGCTTGAGCCTACTAGTAGTGGATGGCTAGCAACCCCTAAAACACCATTAACCATAGGCAGAAGTAAAAAGTGCAGGTACTCCCGTGACTGAGATTAACACATTACTTGTAATGATCAGAGAATACAAAGCATAAAAATAAATAAGAACTATGCCTACCTGTACTTCAGTCCTTTTAGAAGGCTTTTATGAGGTCATGATAAGTATCAAGGCCTTTGAGAGGAGCCTTGCCCTGCATATTCCTGTCATAGAAATGTTGGTTGGAAGGCATCTTTAGAGGTCGTCATGTCTAGCATCCCACTTGAAGCAAGACTTGCCAACAGTAGACCAAAGCAGCCATTGCTCTGTCTTGCTGGATCTTGAAACCCTCAAGAATGGATATTACACATCCTCTTGGGACAACCTGCTCTATTTAGAAGAAAACTAATGAAATCTCTTTGCTTAATGCCTGACCTGAGCCTCCTAAGCTGCAGTTTGTGGCTGTGGTCCTCGTCATATCTCCCACTGCTGAAAATAATTCTGATATCTGGTGGTTTTATTTCCTTTTCACAGAGCAATTCCAATCACTTTTGTTGTTCAAGCCCTTTCCTGAACTTTCTAAGGCATGTGTCAAAAGAAGCATTTATGATACAGATGCCTTAGCTTCAATTTTTAGTGTAGCTCTGACATTTTATCAACACTAAACATGATGTGCAGACTTGACAGGAAACGGTTTGAGGAGACAGTACCTAGAGTGCAGTGGCCTTTTGCATACATGCAGCCTTGCACAAAGACCTTGTTGCTGCATGATACTTTCTCCTTCCTGTCTGCTTTCATAGGGGCCAGAGCCAAGCAGAAATCTTCCAGCTCTCTTATATCCACTCTTTGTGTCCTAAACCTTTTGTATGAAGGACATTTACCTCTGTCTTTTGACACACCCTGTTGGGGTACTTGATGTGCCTGGTCTGCCAAATGGTACTGCTGGGTCCGTGCCATTTGTAGGGAATTTGTCCCTGAGAATGGCCCAAGGATGGTGGACCTGGGACTGCTATGGGGTGTTATGGCCCTAACCAGCTTTCTGCTGCCAGCACATCAGCAAGTGTCACAGGAGCCCTGAGAGCTTCATGGACCTGAGCTTCAGCAAAAGCCACCGCTCAGCTCTTGGCAGCAGAGAAGTGGACTGTTGGATCTGCTTAGCTCAGGAACATTCTGCCTGCTGGGAAGCTCCAATGCTATTTCCGTGACTGTCTGACCAGTATTGACACTTGCTACTAGCAGGCTATAGGTTTCCCACAAACTGGAATGCAATCACACAAGGGTTTTTGTTCCGTTTGGATTGTATCAAAACCTAACCCCAAACAAGAACTGCAAATTGCTTATCACTTCCTGGCCCTCTCTCTTTGCTGATGCCTCCCCATAACACATTTAGTAATTAATTATCAAATGTGTTTCTTGCCAAAATCCACTAGGTGGCACAGTTCATCTGGTTTGCCGAAATATGGAGCGGGCTGAGACCGCCGAAGGAGAAATAGTGACAGAAACAGGTAATCAGGTGAGTTGTTTTTCAGTCTTTTGTTTACTCTTAGAAAGATTGTTAATATTAAGGACCTCATAGGTCTTGACGTATTCTGTCATTTTGCTGTTGTGTTTTTAATAGTAGTTTCATATGGATATGGAAACATCAAGTAGTTCATCATCCGTATGCTTTTAAGTGATTTAATTTCACCTGGTGATGTTTTCTGTGATTAATAGCATCACTAGCAGCATGCTGTTTTGTTTAATGTTTGTTGTCAATATGTTTTGTGATGTCCTACTTGCTATTCCTAACTATGTGGCCAAGGCTTTTAAAAGTTAATGCATTGCAACACTCTTGCAACAACATTTATGAGTTTACAGCATTGGATCTGAAGGTTTTATGTGTCTGAATAACATGCTCTTGATTTGCTAAGGTTGGCTGCTCTGTGAAGTCCTGTGTGTGGTCCTAATTCCATGCTCTACATACTTCTCCATCTCCTTTTCTTATAACATCTCTTCCTTACTTCCTCCTTTCTCTTACATATTCTTGCTCCTGCATATATCACTCTATACCCCTGTAGCTGTCAGTGTTGCTTTTGCCAATTATTCAGGTGGGTGTGCTTATGGAGAAGCGCAGTCATTCTCTTTCTATCTTGCTGTAGTGGTTTTGTCTGGGATAGAGTTAATTTCTTCACAGCACCTCCCTATGGTGCTGTGTTTTGGGTTTGTGACCAAAGCAGTGTTGACAACCCATGTTTTACTTACTGCTGAGCAGTACTTGCACAGCATCAAGGCCTCTTCTGGTTCTTATGCAGCCCCACCAGTGAGCAGGCTGGGGGTGCACAAGAAGTTGGGAGGGGACACACTAGGACAGCTGACACCAACTGACCAAAGGGATATCCCAGACCATATGATGTCATGCTCAGCAATAAAAGCTGGGGGAAGAAGGAGAGACATTTGCAGTTACAGTGTTTGTCTTTCCAAATCACACTGTCGCATGTGATGAAGCTCTGCTCTCCTGGAGATTGCTGAACACCTGCCTGACAATGGGAAGTAGTGAAGGAATTCCCTATTTTGCTTTGTTTCCACACACAGCTCTGCTTCACTTATTAAACTGTCTTTATCTTAACCCACAAGTTTTGCCTGGCTTATCCTTCCAGTTCTTTCCCCCATCCCACTGGGATGGGAGTGAGCAAGTAGTTGTATAGGGCTTAACTGCCAACTGGGGGTTAACCCACAACACTTGGATGGAGAACTAACTTAATTTCAAATAGTGACTTGGCTCTTGAACACGGTATTTGAATTCCAGTAATAGTTTTTAATGTTGAACAGAAATTCTGAAAACATTTTATGGTTAGGGATACCATATTGGCTAAATTTCTGCTCTTTGATTTTAGCTCCCTAGTGAGACACAACCAGCATTACACTTCAGTTCTTTAATGGAGGTGAATTAGATCACTCCTTATGTAGAAATAAATAATTTCCATCTGTCTATAACTGTGTAATCCCATGGCTATAGTAAGACTGGTGCTTATCCATGTTACCTCCTTTCCTAACTCTAGTCAGACAGCCTGGGAAGAGGGGTGAGTTTGATGACCTCTGAAGGTTCCTTCATGTTCTGTTTTCTGTCATTTGGTGAAACAAAAGTTGAGGCAAATAATGTTCTTCCTCTGAAAGCAGCACAATTACTGTGTTCCCACTTTTTGGTAGGCTGCAAACATGTAGTTTCTGTAGTCATGAAAGAGTATGAGGGCACTGCAGAACTTGTTCATGACCCTGGGGACAGGGCACTTGTATAGAAAGCAGCATTCAGTGAAGTGTTAGATGAGCTGTACAAGAGGCCCTGTGGGACATGTGACTGCACTGAGAAGAGTCATTTTAATAAGGAGTCCACAAGAAAATCCTTCTTTACAAGTACTCATTCAGAAGCCATCCAGGAAGATAATAAAATCCTTTATCTGCAACTTGACAAGCTGTATACAGACTTAACTTGCTCTTCTTGATCAGCTGGATGGATATCCTGTTGTAGTATATGCCAGAGATTTTTTCCATCTTCCACAGCAACACGTGTCAGAGTTCAGTGCCGAAATGGAGTTGTTATTCGTCAGGGACCTCCACCTAGACCTGGGAACTAGGAAATTCTCCTAATCTGTTAAAGTAGATCTAGTCACAGAGATTAGGTTCCACTTTGAAAATGGCTTTGCTACCATCAAGGACTTTTATAGAGAACAGACTTGTGGTCCTTTTTCTGAGCCAGTGTGGCAGTCTTCAGCAGATAAGTGTTGATTTAGGTCTTTTTCAGTCTCTGGAATCACTTGTAATATTGAACATCTGCCCAAAAAACTTCAGCTCTTCTGTACCAGTAGATAATGGTAGTAGTTTTAAAAGTAGAAAGTTTTTAGAGAGGTATCCAGTTAGAAACAGTAGAGCAGTATCAAGTTTTTGGTCAGAAATGAACATTACAATGAGAAAATTCTGACCTAACTCAACTAAGGAGCTGAAATCAAATGGCTAGAGAGAAAAAATGATGTGGTTTTTTTATCTTGAGGGAAGCAGAACTGTAGGCAGGGAATAATGCCTTATAATTTTCTCAGCTTCTTCACTTATCTCATTTGCTTGTATAATGAGTATTTAAAGAAACAGCTTGGAAAGAGAGGAGGCCCTCTAATGATTATTTGTTGTTTTGCATGAGAACACATCCTTTGCATAATTATTTTAAAACTGCCTTTTCCTGGGATCTGTCATAAGACTACTTGTGGTGTGCCTTTGAGACTAAGTGCTATCTGGAAGAAGAGCAGGAGCTGACATGCCTTTTGTATGCTGATAAATGCCACTGTGCTTTTACTTGGTAGAGCACAAATCTGCAAAAAGCAAAAGAATTGCCTGTAACAAACAGTAAAAGGTTTTTGATGTTTTGAAGAGGAAATATTTCTGGCTTTAGTGGTTTAGAAAATTACAACTTTTCTCTACGTCGAGCTTTTAGGTTTTTCGGTTTTGTTGGGGTTTTTTTGTGGTGTGGTTTTTGTTGTTTTTTGGTTGTTTTTTTTTTTTTTTTTTTTAATTCTATTACATTCACATTCCTGGCTGTAGCATTTCAAAACATCTCAAGACTATTGTGTCATGGGGTAGCTAACAAGGACTTAGCAGTTAACATGAAAGGGGGTGCAGAAGGCACCTGACACTCTGAAGCAGCTGGAGTGGGCACAGTGATGCACTTGAAAGTGTGCTCTGCTGCCCTGGTTGGAGCGGCTACGCCTGGCACATGGGAGGCTGGCCTGGGCAGAGCTCCAGAGGAATGATGTGGCAGATGTCAGGCTGCAGGGAGTGACTGGTACTTTTCTCTGAACCTAGGACAGAGCGTGATGGTGGCTTCATCTTTTGGGTCCTGCTGTGGTCAAGGTGCTGGGCTGCCAGGTGAAGTGACTGCAGGAGATGAGCAGGCTGCATGGCTGTAAGAACAGAAACAGGAGATTGACAGGGTCTTTGTGAGAGTAGAAGAGCACAAACCCCACATTGCGTGGAAGGAGGGACAGCTGGAAGCTATGCTCAAATAGAATAGACTCCAAAGATGGGGAGGAATGGAAGCTTGTGACTGCTGGCAACAGAAGGCAAGCTTGTTCTCTGCCTGCAGATGTGCATTTATAGGATAAGTATAGTGCCATGGTAACAGATGAGGAAGAACAAGCTCTGTCAGGGGAGGTGTTGGAGACAGATGAGCCTGAACTGTTGTCGGCATTGGGAGGAAGTGGTGGGTGATACTGGCTGGAGGCTCCAGCCTGTGGGGGATGGAGGCATCCATCTGCAGTCTTGGCTTGATGTCTTGAGAGGTTTGTCACTTGCTGGGGACTCAGACCTAGGGTATTGTGGAGAGTCTGCTGAGGCTCATCTGGACCTTGGACTTGAATCTCTTGTTGCCCAACCACATGGGGCACCCATGACATTGTGAGGGCTGACCTTGAGTTCATCAACAGTGCTTATAGAGGGTGAAGGGCAGGGGAGCATGAGTAGTGCTCTCCTAAATCCTGCTAGTGAAAGGGAAGGGCTTGGGTGGAAGCATATGCACCTTGCAGGTCAACACCTGAATGTGCAGCTTGTGTCACTTTGACCTTTGTCACTTGTCTTTAGCCTTTATGATTTTGACCTTCTCTGAGAAATGATTGCTCAGCGTTGCTGAGCAGGATTGACAGAATGGAGCAAAATATCTTTGCCAACAGGTTTGCTAAGCGAGTGAGGAGGGCTTTAAACTGGTTTCAAAACCAACTGGACCAAACCCAGAAGAGTAGTGGAGTCATGGGGACAGCGAGTATGTGTCTAGGGGACAGCCTCCAACAGACTGGAGGGGGGTCTCACAGTTCTTATGTGAAAGCAACATGACTGGAAGCCCATCTCGGATGCCTGTACAAAAATACACATGGCATAGGAAACACAGGAATCCATGCATGGTTGCAGAGCTGTGATCTTACTGGAATTAGAGACATATGGTTGGCATGACTGGGGTGCTGGAATGGATGTATATAGGCCCTTTTAGAAATGCAGGCTGGGAAGATGAGAAGTTGTGCTCTATGCAAAGGAGTGGCTTGAATGCATGGAGCTTTGCTCTGAAATGGGCAATAGCCTGTTGAGAGTTTACAGGTAACGCGCAGAGCTCAGATCAGTATTGATGACATCATGGTGAGTGTCTGCTACATGCTGCCTGATGAAGTAGAGGAAGTAGGTGGAGCCTTTTTCAGAGGGCTAGGGAAGCCCCATGATCACAGGTCCTGGTACTCATGGAGCACTTAAACCACCCTGATACCTGCTGGCAACACAGCAGGGCATAGTTTGGAGGATTTCTGGAAAGCATCGATGACAATTTTTTTTAATGCAAGTGTTGGACAAGCCAGCTAAGGATGATCTCTGCTGGACTTGCTATAAATAGCAGTCTTGAACAGCTGCATTGGAAGTGGCCAGGAGGTTGTGGAATTTAAGATCAAGACAGATAAGAAGGATGGGTATTGGAGTATTAGGAAAGCAGATTTTGTCTTTGTTATGGACCTGATTGGCAGGATCTCATGGGAGACGTCCATGCAGAGCAAAAGGCCTTGGAAAAGCTGGTTGATCTTCAAGAGAAACTTCTTGAAGGAGATGCTTCCTGTTAACTGAAGATGGCAAACCACTCATCTTCAGAAAAAGAAAAAAAGGCAGACAAGATTTTGGGGGACTACAGGCCAGTCAGCCTCACCTTGCTCTACAGGAAAACTATGGAGCAAGTCCTCATAGAAGCCATGAAAGACAGGAAGGTGATTGAGAAAAAAACACTGTAGATTTGTCAAGAGCAAACCTTGCCTGTCTGTCCCAATCCAGTGTTGGGGGAAGTTTCAGTATGATCCCAAGAGCGAGATTAAGATACAAACAAGGTCAAATGCCATATACCCAAACCAGGTTTTTATTATTAAAAAAGTGAAGAGGGGTAGCAATAGAACAGAATGGAAGGAAAAGACAGAAATAAAGCAAGGATGTGGGATAGAGCTGCAAGAATAGTCACCACCATGGATCCAGCAGCGTCCCATTGGTCCTCAGTCTTCAGTTCTTCTCTGGTGGGTGCACACGGATCTGGCTTTGATGGTAGATGCACACTGAGCAAAATTTTCTACAGCCTTTTAAAATTCATTGTATCCACTGATTAGCATATCTGCTTACCTTTCGTTTGTTGGGGTTTTTTTTAGTCCTGGTATCACAGGTTTTGTTGCATCTGGCTTCAGGGCAGGAAAGTTTGCCTCTTGTCAGTTCATTAGCAATGCATGCATGTGGTCTGGCCTACACAATAGAGCCACAAATGGCTACAGGATGGGGCCAGCTCAGTCCATGTCTGCCCCTTTGAAGCTTGTCTAAAGAGTCCGGACAATGCAACCGCAAAGAAGGGAGGGTGCATCCTTCAGTACACTCCTGCTTCTCTGGGAGACACTCCCCAGACCAATTCACAGGCCGCAGCAGCTGTCCCGATCACTGCCTTTGGTGAGATGACTCTGCCTGTGGACAAGAGGAGAGCAGTGCTTTACACTTTCCTTAACTTTGCCAAAGCTTTCTTTGTACATGGTCTACCATAGTATCCTTGTAGCCAGTTTGGAGAGATGTGGTTTGAACTGGTGGATGACAAGCTGGGTGGAAAACTGGAACGTTTGGCTCAGAAAGCAGCAATCAACAGTACAAAGCTGATCTGTTAACAATTTTTTAGTGGCATTCCCTATGAGCCAATACAAGGGCAAAATCTATTTAATGTCTCTTTTAGCAACTTGGACAGTGAAGTGCAACCTTTGGCAGATTGCAGATGATCTCAAATGGTGTGAGGGAGAGCTGGAGATCAGAGCTGCTATTCAGAGGGATTTAACACATGAGGAAGTGGGCTGACATGAACCCTACGAAGTTCACCAAGAGAAGATGCACAGTCCTGCCTTGGATGGAGTAACCTCATGGAGCAGTACAGGCTGGGACTAGCTGTCTGGAAAGCAGCTTTGCAGAAAAGGACCTGGGGATGACAAGTTGTTCCTGAGTAAGCAGTGTGCCCTGGGGAAGGAAGGCCAAGCACACCCCAGGTGTAGCCAGCAGGCTGAGGGAAGTGCATCTTTGTGAGACCACAGCAGGAGTTGGTGTTAGTTTGGGGTTCCCCAGGACAAAGTCATCGATGTCCTGGAGTGAGTCTAGTGGAGGGCTGCCAAGGTGATTAGGAAGATGTGACATGTGATGTGCAAGGAGAGGCTGAGAGGGCTGGTTTTGCTCAGTGTTAAAAAGGCTGAGCGGGGTCTTACTGTAGTCTACAGCAACATGATGGGTGGGTGTAGGGAAGGCAGTGCTGTGCTTCTATTGGAGGTCTGCAGGAAAGGACAAGAAGCAGCAGATAGATTATAAAAGGGAAAAATTTTTACTAGATAATAGGACCGTTTTTCTTCACTATAAGGGTGGTCAAACACTGGAGCAGGGTGCTCAGAGGCTGGTTTCCTGGACAACCTGATCTCTGTTACCTACCTTGAGACAACAATGGGACCAAGTGGCCTCCAGAAGTCCCTTCCAACCTGAATTATTCTCTAACACTGTGGCCTTCAGCACTGCTTTGGAAACTTGATTCCAGCTGAAGAGGAAAATGCTGTCTGAATTGTTTAAACAGAAAATTTTCAAGCTTTGCAACATTTTTCTAGTTCTCTTCTGTGCCTGACTATCTGTCATGTATATTTGTCTAAGTAGGGCTCTCTTTTAATGAATTTGGCATTAAAAAACTATGGCTCTGAAACAACTGAATCAAGTGATTATGCATGTTTTAAGGACTCGAAGTAGATTTCCCAGTTATGCATGTTAACCTAAGTGTTTCAGTTATGTTCTGAAAATACTATTTTTTCATACTGCTTGAATACCTTTTCACCTAGACAGGTTGTAACAGTGAACAGGGTCTCTTCACTGTCCCTGTTGGTTGTAACTTACTTTTTTTCCCTTTAGAATATCTTCTTGCATATTGTGGGTATATCTCATCCCAAGGAAATCTGGAAGTTTGCTGAAAAATTTAAAAATGAACATAAATGTTGGTGAGTTTGCATACTTAAATCATGTATCTGTCTTTGGAGTGTATAGCCTATGAATTTGTCCAACAAGTAATGTAGATTTCACGATTTGTCTCACAACTCTCTGCTTAATTTTCTCTAAATGCTTTTGCAGTAGTCTTCGTGGTCTGTTTGCTCTTGTCCATTCTTAGTTCATATACAGAGATATGCTACAAAAAAGAGAGAAAAGCAGTAATTTTTTAGCTGCATCTTTTGAGGTTCTTACCACACATTTTCTGTTTGACTTTCATTACTATATAGCCTCCTCCCTGTTAAAGTTAGTCCTTCTTAAAGATTAAAATTTTACAGAAAGTCTAGTTAGAGCAGTCTAAAACAGAGCCAGGCAGAGAACAAACAATTATCATGGCTGGTAAGGGGTTCAGTACACTTCCCCTTTATTTAGAAGTGAAAATTTGCTCGGGGGGCTGTACTAAAACTGAGGCACCTGAAGCAGTTGTTTTGGTGCTTATTAAATGAGGAAATTCTCATAGAAATGGGAAAATAGGTTTTTGAGGAGTGGCAGTGAATGAGATGGAAGGTATGTAGGGGCAGATCTCTTTTTGAGAAAAGCTTGAGGTTCCTCTGGAAGATAAGGCAGAGAAAGAAGTGTGTATGAGAATATGCTAGCTGCACACAGCTTTAAAGCTTCTGAGTGTTCATGATTTTACCTTACAGTGCATCCATGCTGTGTGGTGCAGCACTGTTTTAGCAATGTGTGAGTCAGGTGGGGTATCTGTGCAGGATTGCCTGGCAGAGGGAAAAGCTGAGGTCCTACAACCCGGGCACAGAGTCAGTATGAAGCACCTCTGCTGATAAACTCTGCTTTTCTTAGGGCTAATGAGGATGCAGCAATCTGCTGACCTAGCTTATCTGCCAAATTTGGAGATAATTCTTTTAATTTGCTGAGGGTGGGAGTTCCTGCGGGCCACTCCACTCTGTGTTGTGCAGCCTTCCATAGTGAATTTTCCCCTAATGGAGAATACATCATAGCGTGGATCGTGTGGGGTCAGTGTGGTCTCAGATGAGACTAACAAACTATACTGCATGTTTATGTTCTAATATCTGCTCTACAACTCGCATATTGCTTTCTGTGAGGAAAGAAAAACATGTTTAAAAACATGAAGTAAGGCACTAAGAGGACCGTTGGCTCTTAGCGTTATACATCTGTGGTGAGCCATTTCTCTGAAGATCCTTTCTTTTGTGCAAAACCTTCATGATCAGTGACAGAGTAGTGTGACTTGGAATAGCATGGTTTATTGAAAAAGTTTGTAGGTTTGTGTTGCAGTGTGAAAATAGCAAACCAGTATGGATGTATGTGTGGTTTTGTTTGTAGATATTTGTATAGATGTTTTGTGTTTACAGGAGTTGTCTTACAGAGCAACAATGCAGTATATATGGTGAATAACAGAGTTAACTGAAGATGGACTTGAAAAAAACTTTGCAACAACCACTTTGGGTCAGTATTAAAGGCTTAGTTCTGAGATATGCTTACTCTGGTTACAGAAGTGTGTTTTTACAGCTGGGTTCATGAGGTATGTATTTCTGCTCAAAGAGGGATCATAACATTGCTATGCCAGAGAAGAAGCAGGAAAGGAAAAGAAGAAATATTACAGTATATTTGTAATGTCATTTTTTTAATTTCTCCATTTTCTGTTCTTCTCATATCAGTGCCTTTATTTATCATAGCAGCAGTGGGCAAATGCAGATACAGTTTAATTAAATTGATTCTGAAATTTGCTAGGAAACTTTGTTCCAAGCAGGGCTGCTAATGATACTCTTTATAAGTGTGCTCCTGTGGCTTGGATAGAGCAGACATTTAAAAAGACATTCAAATGTTTCAGTAGGCTTGAACAGCCCTGTTTGATGTGACAGTAGGAAGACTGTGGCTTATATAGTGCCCTGGACACTCTCAAACAGATGCAACATCAGGTCAAGTGATTGAGCAGTACTGGTTAAATCTTAGGCACTCCACATATAAGGAGTGTATCCCATGAACTGTGTGCTGGAGGTATCAGAGGGACAAACTAAAGGAAGCAAATAAAGGGGAAAAGGGGAGATGTGGATGAGTAGGGAAGACAGTGAGAAAAGTGGAAAGTTCCCTCATAAAAGCCTTGGAAAAGATGTGAGCAAACAGCCAGCCAGCAGAGAGAAGAGCTGTCTGCTGCCACTGATATCTGTAGGGCTGAAAGCCACCCTTGCAAAGAGAGAGAGATGTGGTATTGCATCAACCAGCAGTCCCGACTGTCTTTTCCCTCTGCTTCCATTCAGTGTAGGTGGCTTTCTCAAGAGACTGTCCTTAATATATTCAGAACTGACACATTAAGGAGGAGCTGTGGTGCTTTGTTTCTGTGTTTTCCTCTTGTTCATCAGTATCTGGGATGAGGAAGGGAGAAGCTTAGGCTATAAAGATCAGGCATTTGTAGAACTCATATAGTCTGGAAACCACTCTTGGGTTTTATTTTTAGTCTTTTTCCTGTGTTACTACTATTTACTTTTGAAAACTAACATCTGAGGTATAAAATACTTGTGCTTAGCTGATATGGTGCATACAACTTGTAGTCAGACTTCCAGAAAAAACATTAAATTGACAGTTAATTCAAGTATAAAGGCACAGATTCATTTTCCTCAGATTAATCTTCTGCTAACATTCTCCTGTTTCTCATGGTCAAAATACAGAAGGAATTTTATTTTGCCATCAAATTTCTTCTGGCTGTGAAAGTACAAGAGCTTCTACCTTAAGAAATTTATTCACCTTAAACTGGTTTAGCCCTCTTGTGGTCTTTCAGACAAAAATCCAGCAATGTGCAAAGGTGCAGTTCTTCCAGAGGGAAGCAGAGTGAAACAAATGCAACAGTCTGAACATGAAAGCATGTTTTGGTATAGTTTTAAATGTTGAGGAAATTAATTGCTTAGGAACTGTACGAGTGCATCACTTGAATTAGAATTTATCACACAAGTCTAAGCAGCAAGTTCTGCTTTCCTGGCTGTTAATCAGCACCATTAGAGAGATACAGCTGCACAGAGGAAGCTAAGTTACGACTGCAGTGAATTAGGAAAATGCCTGTATTATATCCTATGAATGTTACATATATATCTCCTTTATTAATTTTGTATCTCTTGCTGCATGACTGTATAAGAAGGTCAAAGAGGTGATTGAACATTTGAGCAGATCAGGAAAAACAGGTAAGTCATCCTCAGTTGTCCAACTTTGGCAGAGTTCAGACAAGGACTGGGTTGTTTGCTCAGACTGATTCTTTCTAAGCAACAATAAGGATTAAATTTTGAAGCTTTTAGAACAAAGTGGGACTTGGTTGAGCTAGAAGAGGCTGTCTGTGCAAGAGAAAGCTTCTGTGTTTGCAGGTCAGACACAATTGAAGGACCAATGCTATCAACAGTGCAGGTATTTTCCTTCAAAGCCAGAGATTGGGTCATAAATCATATCTACTGGAGTCATAGTAGGAGAAATCTGTATGGAGAAGTGTCTGTCAAAGTAGGTGATGAGAAGTCATTTCCCTAAGCACTAGGGTGTGTTTTACTTTGGGGAAGTTTTTTCTGTATCAGTAACTATCTGTGGTTATAGGTTTCCAGAGAAAAACTAACCCTAAATTAGTTGTGGCTGATACATAGGTTGGCTGTAAACTAGAATGTGGTCTGAGAGAACAAACTAAATTCACCCCTTTGCCTCTTTCCCCAGAAAAGCTAAAGCCTGAAGGGTGACATGGGCTCAGGGCCTCTGTTTTGAAAATCTGCAGTTGTCCCCCTGAGCAGCAGCATGGAGTCAATAACTTATTTCTGCAGAAATCAGGCAGTCATAAGGTAGAATTTTTTTATTTTTTTATTTTTTTTAACAGATCTTCACATGCAGAGTGTTCCTTCCATCTTTATTTCCTGATTTGTTTCTACCCTGGATCTTAGCTCTGGTCTAGTAAAGGAGTGTGTAGGTTGTAACTGTCTAAGAATGGAAGACTCTGAACTATTACATGCTTTAAATGCCAGGCAAAGTCTTTGAATTCTGTATCTGATACCTGATTAACATTTATATAAGCTATAGAATTGCTCATTTAGGTGTCTAAAATGCTGTGGAGCCTTTAGTTCCGGGCTAGGAGTATTTTCCTCTTGACTAACTTGTTAATCTGTTTTTGAGCATCATGGATGTTAAGAGTTCAGTTCTAATTGATCATCTGACTTGTGAAACATAGTTTATATCCTGATCCTTTCCTGGACATATATGGGCAAAACCGAATGCATAAGTCCTGTGGTAGGTAAGATGAATATGTAGAAGAACAGGAAGTAAACTACCCTTAAAGTGAAACACCACTGACTGGCTAATTGAGGACAGTTCACAAAGTAGGAGGTGCAGAGTCCTCTGTGGTATTGTCAGAATATACAGGTGGGTGAGAGTTATGAGAATACAAAATGTACATTGATAGTTCAGACTTTGTATGATTTGTCTAATACTCAAGTTCAAACTGTAAACTCCTTTGAGCAGGCAGCAGCAGCTATATCTGTGTGCTGGTGCCTAGCATCCTTAAAATGGGGCTCAGTCACAAATGCTGTGTAGCTTGTTGTGGTTCTGTTGTTGCTATCACATGGAATAAAATACCTTTTTTTTTCCCTGATAGATCCCTGAGAATTGTTGCTTTGATTGTTGGAGCTCAGTGAAGGTGTAGAGCGCAGAATAGCTGTGGAGCACTTACACTGTAATGTGGGAGCACTAGCCAGACACGAGTCTGAAATGGCACATTGTTGATTGAATCACACCTTCAGTATGAAATTGAGTGACTGACTGGCTTGGGGTAATGTGGGCAGATTTCCTGGGGAGCTGCCAATCCTGGTGGGCAGATTTTATTTGTGTTACCTTTAGCTTTTGTGTTGCCTTTTTCTCCTCCTGTGGGCTGGCCTTGTACTCAGGGTTGTACCCAGGAACTGGGCAGTGACAAGCAATCATTTCTGCTGACAAGACTTGCAGACTTCTGAGTCAACACTTTCTTTTTTTTCAAATTTTATTTTGCTTGTTTTAGTAAAAGTCCCAACAAAGACTATTCAAACTGGGAGTATTCGGTCATTTTGGAAAAAAATCTGTCAGCATTGGCAGGCAACAGCAGCATGTTCTTATTTAAGCACTAGACACTTAGTTGAAACAACCTTTGTTCCTCTATTTTATAGTCTGCCTCACTTTACTTTTACTCAACACATCTTCTTGCTTGACATGGAAAAATGGCATATATGTTACATTTTTATTGCTACTTACCAGCCAAGGGGATGCTAAAACACACTCAGAGATAAATGTGATGCTTCTAGTATGCATCTTTTCTTCAGTCTAAGTGCTCTCATGTTTTAATAATATAGCCATATACATTTACTCTCTGTGCAAGGAGGGGTAGGGCCAGAGGAAATAAGATGCTTTTCTACCACAGTAGCAGTATGCAATTTGCCTAACCTGTATAGATATTTGCCAGTCCCTTCCCCACACATAAACCATATCTGTCTGGTGTTTCACAGAAGCCAGTGTTGCCTGGTGGAGTGTGTTCTGAACTACTTGGAAGTCAGGCAACTTGGATACCAGCTGTCAGTCTGCCATAAGGTCGGTGCCTGATCTTTGCCATGACAACCTTACCGGTGAAAAGGAGACTATGGTACCGATTTTCTTTCTGAAGAGCTTTGAGACTTATGGATGAGAGGCACTATGTGAAAGGATGAGGTTGAGTATAATTGCAAATCAGCTAGCTGTACTGCAGCCTAGGTTCCCAGGACACAGACAAACCCTTATTGAGCTGAACTTTGTAATTCAAGGGAAATATAAACCTTTGTTTTGTCTTTCATGTTCATTAGCTCTTCCCATACACTCTCAGTTACTGCTAGTGTGGTGGAATTGGCCCTCAGAGACAGCACACTAAAATTTCATTCCTGATCCTGTACTCAGGGATGTCCCTTACTTGGAACTGTATAAATTGAAGGCTTGAAAAGATAACCAGGTCAAGGAAGAATGTTAGTTTGTTATTTGTTTTTGGTGTGATTTTTTTTTTTTTTTTAAGACTTGGACATAAGAAAGGCAAGCCAGTTTAGCTGATTTTACCAGATGAATGAGCCATTAAAATCTGTACAATAAAAGTTTGTTGTTTTTTTTCTGTTCCCACTTTTTTCACAGTTGAAATAACACTGCTCCTAATAATACTGCAAAGCTCAGGCAGATGGAAAACTTCACTGAATGTGGTGCTGGCTGCCTGCCCTTATCTGAATGTTAGCAGATTAAAAACCTCACCAACAATTTACCACTAATTGCCAAATAGAACATCAAGCAAAAACTATTCTAGAATCCACCAAGACACTTGGGTCTGCAATAATTGCATCAATTAATTTGATGTTGTAAAAAGGTAGTGGCTTTACAATATTACTTCTGCTGAAACCATAATTTTCTTCTTAAATCAATTTTAAAGTACAGGTTTTTGGGGTCAC